CAGGGCAAATGTACAAGGAACTATCCAGCATTATTGATATATTTATCAAGCCACTAATCCCCAAATTACCAACAATTATATCATGTTAACCTTTATGTCATGTACTGAGGAAAATAATATAAATTCTCCAATTTTTTATAAGGGGATCATTTTTACTAGTACTATAAGTAAGGCTAATACTCTTGAACAATTTCTCAATGTTATAAATATTCCCTTTAATAATATTATATTTTTTACTAATAAGAAATCCGAAATAAAGGAAATTAATAATCTTCTGAGAACTAGGGACGTGGAGTATTATGGCGTAGAATATTTAGCTATCCGTGATATAACGGAGGTATCCTCTCCGCAGTTGATAAAGTTCCAACGACAAAAATTATTACAAACAGGAGAATGGTTGGAAGATGAGGATGCGCAGAAAATAATGAAGCCAGAAGATTAAGAGTAGGTTTAGCTTCTTCTAGGGACAAAATTTTATAGCTAGATGTTTAAGATTTATAGGTTTGAAGGGATATTTTGATGATAAATCTATTTTAAAATAGTATTCTTATCACTTAGGAATGCGGCTAAGAAATGGACAGCAACAATTAAAAACTGGCCTTTGGCTTTAAGAGAACGAAAACAACGACGAAACGACCATTAGATAGAAATGTTCATAGAGCATAACTAAGCGCAGCTTGTATTTGGCCTTTAGAATCCCTAAAACAAAACCGATTATTTTGACATGCCCAACGATTGTGATTATATAATTGCCCGTATTATCCGTGGCGCTTTCATAGTATTTGATTTTTTATTCATAGGGTTAATTGGAGCCTTCAATCTCTAACCACTGCATTAATAATTCTTCAAGCCTTTTCTTGTGTGCTACTAGATCATTGCTTGATTGATTAAATTTAATAGGGTTAGCAGAAAATAATGCACTATCGCTTAATATTAATTCTAAGTTTTTAATCTTTAATTCTAATGATTCTATTTCTAGAGGAATTGTTTCAAGTAATCGCTGATATTTATAAGATAATTTCTGAGGTTTTCTTGCTTCTTGGATAAGAGTAGGGAGTGGAGGTTTATTGGCTAATTTGACGGGTGGCTTAGGGGTTAAACCTGGGAGAGCTAATTGTCGATAATCTTCATAACTACCTGCTATATCAATTATTTCATTATTAGAGAAAATTAAGGTCCTAGTGACTAATCTATGTAAAAAATCACGATCATGACTAATTATTAATAATGTGCTCGAATATTCTCCTAGAATATCTAATAGAATCTCTAAACTATCCATATCAAGGTCGTTCGTTGGCTCATCTAAAATTAGCAAATTACCTGGATTGATTAGAGTCTTAGCTAATAACAATCTGCTGGCTTCTCCACCTGATAAGGTAGCCACTTTAGTAGTAAGACGCTTAGGGTCAAACATGAACTGCTTTAAATACCCTGCCACATGCATAGTTTTATTAGGTAAGAATACTTGATCTCCCCCGGTGGGGCATAATATTTGTTGTAATGTATAGTTAGGATTTAATTCTATCCTATGTTGATCAAAATAAGAAATATCTAATTTAGTACCATGTATTACTTTGCCCAAGTGGGGGGAAATTTGCTTAGTAATTAATTTAATTAAAGTGGTTTTTCCAGACCCATTTGCACCAATTATCCCTATCTTTTCCCCTTTTTTTACCCTAAAACTAAAATCATTAATAATTTTGGTTTTAGGGTAATGAAAAGATACATTCTCCAGTTCTATGATGAATTTACTTTTACTAGAATCTTCAATTTCACCTATTTTGACTCTTTGCTTGGATAAGGCGAGCTTACTAGCATGTTGCCTAGTTATTTCTCTTAAGTGTTTTAAATCGGCTAATCTTTTTTGATTCCTTTTCCGTCTGGCCGTTACCCCGGTTTGGAGCCAATCATTTTCTACTCCCAGTTTTTTATTTAATTTTTTTAAAATAGCTTCTTCTTGTGCAATAACGGTTTCTTGCCATTCTTCAAAATATTTAAAGCCTTGATCTGATTTGCGTAAATTTCCCCGGTCAAGCCACCAAATTTTATTGGTCACATTTGTTAAAAAAGCCCTATCATGGCTCACGCATACAATAGCGCCGTTGTAAGATTTGACGAATTCTTCCAGCCATTCTATAGTTGAGATATCAAGGTGATTAGTAGGTTCATCCAGTAAGAGAATTTCCGGTTCTGCCACTAATGTTTTAGCTAGATGAGCTCTTCGAATTTGCCCTCCTGAGCAGCTAGATAAGTTACCTGCCTTCTCAAGTTGTAATTTCTTTAGGATGGTATCAATTTTATATAGGTCAATGCCACTCTCCTTGGATTGACCTAGCACAAAATCATAAATCGTTAAGTTCAAGTTAAGTTTAACTTCTTGATTCAAATAATTAATGGTAGTACTAGTATCATGAAATAATTCGCCGTTATCTAACTCATAATTTCCAGCAATTACTTTCATTAGACTAGATTTGCCGCAGCCATTTTTTCCAATAAGACAAATCTTATCTCCTTTATAAATATAAAATGTAAGATTTGATAATATAGGCTTATCTGCAAAACTTAAATTACCATTTTTAATATAATAAATAGGGGTGGTCATAGTTAGCGAATGATTAATTGATTAAATAGACCTCTTTTATAGCTAAATACCGCAGGCTATACAGTGTGCATCGCGTAGGTAATTTGCACGTCTAGTCTAGGCTTAAATCCCTCAGCTACACTTGAGTATGCTATGGTTGTTGCGCTTCATTTTCTTCCCTAGAACCTAGCAAAAGTGAGTTTAATAAAGTAGTCTAAATAAGTATAGAAATGAAAGCTTATATTCTCTTAACCACTAAGCTAGCATTAGTTCCACCAAACCCAAAGGAATTTGAAAGAACATAATTAATGGTTGTCTTTCGTGCTTCTAATGGTACTAAATCTATTTCGGCTTCTTCTATGCAATTATGTAGATTTAAAGTGGGAGGAGCGACTTGATCTTGGATGGCAAGCAGTGAAAAGATTAATTCCATGCTACCAGTGGCGCCAAGTAAATGCCCAGTAGAAGATTTAGTTGAAGACATAAGGATTTTTGGATTAGCATCTAAAAATAATTTTTGTACCGCTAATAACTCAATTACATCACCAATGGGGGTAGAAGTACCGTGAGCATTGATATAGTCAATGTGGTGAGCATTAATTTGAGCATCATTAAGAGCCTCGACCATCGCCCTATAAGCACCCTCGCCGTCAGGGTGAGGCGATGTAATATGATAGGCGTCACCAGTAGAACCGTATCCCACGATTTCACCATAAATTTTAGCATCTCTTGCTATAGCGTGCTCGTATTCTTCCAGTACTACTACAGCAGCGCCTTCACCCATGACAAATCCATCACGGTCTTGGTCCCAAGGCCTTGATGCAATTTCCGGGGTAGAATTATATTTGGTAGATAATGCCCTTGCGGCAATAAAACCTGCCACTCCAACTGGAGTAATTGGAGCTTCTGCGCCGCCAGCAATCATAACATCTACATTCCCATATTGAATCATCCGCATCGCATCTCCTATAGCATGCGCTCCTGTAGAACAAGCAGTAGCTGCCGCATGATTTGGTCCGGTAAAACCATATTGAATTGAGACATGCCCAGCTAATAGATTAATTAGTGAGGCAGGAATGAAGAAAGGGCTGACTTTACCATTATTTTCTGTATGAAATTTTACAGACGTTTCTTCAATCATCTTAAGCCCACCAATACCTGAGCCTAATATTATACCTGTTCTATTTGCCGCTAATTCATTAGTAGCCTTCCAACCACTATCTTCTATTGCTTCTATAGCTGCGGCAATTCCATATTGAATGAATAAATCCATTTTATGAAGACTGCGAGGGTTAATATATTGCTCGGGGTTAAAACTATTAGCGCTTGTCTTATCAATTATCCCCGCTATTTTGCACGCAAGGTTATCAACATTAAATCCTGTGATAGGTTTAATACCACTACGTCCTTCTATAATTCCATTCCATGAAGACTTAACATTGTTACCCAAAGGGGTAACTAGGCCGAGTCCTGTGATCACTACCCGTCTAGTTGACATATCTATTCTATTTTTGAGTGTTAGTGCTTAACATAAAATCAAGATAATAGCTTACAATTTAGTGCCAGACTATTTAGCCTCCAGCTGCAGGTTGCTTACTTTCTATATAACGTATTACATCAGCAACAGTTAGAATTTTGCTTGCATCTTCATCGGGTATATCGTGCTTAAATTTTGCTTCTATTGCCATCATTAATTCAACAGTATCTAAGCTATCTGCTCTTAGGTCTTCAATAAATCTAGAGTCAGGAGTTATTTTTGATTCCTCTATTTTTAATGAGCTAGCAACAATCTTAATAACAGCATTTTCGATATCCTTATCTGTACTCATAATTTAGAACCTCATAACTTATTTAAATTAATTCCGAAAATATTTAAGTGCAAAACATTTATACTTAATTTTGATATATATCTGTTCTTTATGTTATATAAGAACCCAATTCAACTAAAATTTATAGCAGTAGAAATAAGGAATATATCTATGTATAAATAATGTTTTTCACTTTGGTATAACAACTTCAAACTTTCTAGCATAAAAAAACATTTTATGCCAGTGTAAAATAACAGTAATTTTAACGCTTTTTAAATTTATCTATATGCATTACCCTAAACACTCTCCCTAGCTTAACTTTAAATAAGAAAAATTAAATGTTCTATTAGTTGTGGTATAATTTAACTTATGGTTGTTCTTTAGGTAGGATAAAAATAGGATGTATACTCTAGGAACTTCAAGAATTGGCGTTGCCGTTATTCAAAGTCCACAGATGCTTACGAACTTAATGTACGCTGTGCTCACAGTGCGACCCTACTTAGCACTTTCCTCAAGGTAATTCTATCCTTCCAATTTCAGGTATACTCGAATGATACCCAAAAATTGTGTTTTGAAAATATCATAACTCACGTTCTCACATACTACTTTAGCTCCTTCGCCATTCATGTTCAAATCCAATTCGTGGTATCATGCGAGTATATAAGCAGTATAGTTTTTGGGATTATGCCTAGTGTAGAAAACTCTTTTTATGAATCAATTGACTCCAATATCACTGCAGAATCTGCTAGCTTAGTAATCTTTTCAATTTTTAAACGGGCATCAGACAACTTTTGTTCACAATGTTCTTTTAGTAAAATACCTCTTTCAAAGTTATTAATTGAGGATTCTAAACTTTCTTCCCCTATATCAATTTTTTTTACAATTTCTTTTAATTCCGTTAAGGCGGCTTCAAAGCTCATCTCTTTGATAGGAGGTAAATTTTGCATAATATCTATACATTTAAGTTTTTAATGAACTAGGTGCTGTGAACATTGCTATGTAATGAGTAGATTTATAGGCATTCTTGCTCGCAGAACCACAGCGTAATAAATGTACGTGAGAATTCGAGAACGACAATAACGACGGAATCAACTATTAGATAGAAATGTTCACCAAATCTAAATATTAAGGTAGAATTAATTATCCCTATATCGCAAGGGTTACAATTTAGTTCGTTAGATTTCCTGCATAAGTCAATCTAGCTGGTTATTTTTTTGTTAAAACTTGCTTCCGCTCCTCATGTACATTTGAGTACGCAGCTCGGCTCGGCTTCGTTCTTCCTCAAAATCCCGAGGGCTTTTTCGACTTATGCAGGAATTCTGTTTAACTGTTCCAGTTTAATTACTAAGATATTGTTGTTTATCGAGTTTATTATATAATTGATAAATTGTTTCTTCACTTCCTTTAATTTTCTTAGTAGCGATCTTAAGTAATTGGTCGGACGATTTTTCAGTTAATTGTATTGATGAATGTAATTGTTCTGTAAGTTTTTTAAGGGATTCCTGAATTTCTACGAAAGATTTATTGAATTGTTCTTTTATAGATATAGAAGAATTTTCAAGTTCTTGAAGCTTCATCCGTATATGTTCTACTAATTGTTCAACTTTACTTTGGAGTAACCCTAATTGCTGTTTACGTCCTTCTATAAGACTAAAGCTCACTTCATGCATTTTTGCGTGTATTCGGACTTCGTCTGTGCGTTCTAAGTTCCAAGCTAACCCCATTCTGCTCATTATGTATATTATCCATTTATGTACATCAAAATGATACCATTTAACCCCATTACGGTAGTCTGAAGGAAAAGCATGATGGAAATTATGCCAATTTTCCCCTAATAAAAATAAAGCCATCCACCAAATGTCACCTGCGGTACCTTTATAATATTTTTTACTTCCAATGAAGTGACATAACGAATTCACGCAAAAAGTTGCATGTTGTTGGAGTGCTCTACCTATAGAAATAAATAAAAAACCTGCATATGCCGCAGTAAGGGTTCCCTTGATTAGATAACCAATCATCATAGGAAAAATACTATTCATAAATAGAGCAATTTCCCAATAATATTTTAACTGCCATTTTAATATTTTGCTTTTTCCAAGTTTGACCATAGTAATACGATCAATTGATTTATAGCTACCGCCGATTATCATCCAACCAATATGTGACCATAAAAAACCTAAAATCTTATTATTAAATTTTAATGGGCTGTGAGGATCTAAATCTTTATCAGTATAGGTATGATGTTTATAGTGGTTTGATGCCCAAGATAATACTGGTCCTTGCAGCGTTGCTGCTGACATAACCGCCAGGATAAACTCTACTACTTTATTCGTTTTAAAAGCATGATGTGACCATAAACGGTGCAAGCCAACCCCTACTGCTATATTAGATCCATAATACCCTGCGATCAGTAAGCCGATTTCAAATAAACCAATGCCATAAGCAGCTGAATATTTTGCCATTAAGTAGAAAAGCAAAAAGGGTAAGATAATCAGTACAGAAAAAGCAGGCCAGTCAATGTTTTTGAGCATAATATATTATAATTACTTAAATAGAATGAAATGTAAAAATAGATAAGCGAATAGCTTATATTGTTTCATATCTCAATAAGAGGTTATGGAGGCAAATTCAGTGTGTAATTTAAATAATAAATCTTTACTACCTAAATTTGCCAAAGCTAAAATTTTGCTTAAGGCTATCTGTCACATAATTGAAGACTTCATTTTAATATATTCTGCACTAATATGCAAATATTAATTAGTAGTTTGTATATTAAAGTAACCTTAAATCCATACAATCAGAGTAAAAAGTAAAGTTTTTTAAAGAAAATTATAGTATTCAGTACAATATTAAGTTAATATAAGAATATACCAATAGGATTATACCCTAGCCATTATTGAAATAATTGATTTAGCTCATTAATAGAAAATAGTGTAATAAGGAGGAAGCCAATGAATTCCGAAAGATATGTGCCAAATATTAAACTTGACAGCAATAATAATGATAAAGATATAGAGAAAGATACATTAAATAAAAACAATATAGGAGAACTCCCGGGTACTGTTGTTGGGCGATTACAGTCCATTAAAGAGCTGGTAGGAGAGGTAGAAGAGAGGCTTGATGCCTTAGGCCGTGAGAAGCCTACGGCTCTAAAATTACAAGAAATGGACAAATGCAAGGAAGCTTTAAAAGAGCTAACTAATAGATTAGGTGAAGTGCTGCAATCTCCGCAATCCCAACTATTGATTCTGGATAATCAGTTAAGTAAAGCAAATTTTGAGCAAAGCCCCATGGGGCGTTTAGATAAACTTGCAAAAGATATATTGCAAAAGTTTGGGGAACGTATTAGCAAAAAGCTAAAGGAACCAATTGAAGCACTGCGAGAGAATAAATTATTAAATGCATTTCAGGGTGTAATAAAAGATTTGTGCTCTGCAATTATTGCTATAGTCAAAAATGCAGTTAAGACTAGTATAGACAATTCTATAGTAATTGGAGAATTTGCGAAAAGTGTTAAGAAATTGGGTGAAGTGATAAGCGAAACAATAACCTCAGGAAAATTCTCGCCTAGTAGCTCAGCAACAAGGAGCAGATAAGTTATTGTCTGCTCTATTTCATTCCTATTTCTCATGCGGATATCTCTTTTGTGCTTCTATTTTTACTTGTCTCTCATCAACGCCAACTAAAAAAGCCTTGATAGCATTGCTACTTTCTGCGCATTGATTACCTGCTACCCAGCCCCGCTATCTGAATTTTTTACCCATGTAAATAGTATATATGATTACTTTATCAGGCTATCTTCATTGCTTTTATTAGTAAATTAATTTATTTTGCATAACAGCTATATTTAAATTACCTAATTTGAGACTTATGAATAATCTTAATAAAATACTAAGTTCCGCAGAAGAAAAAATAAAGTCAACCGACACTATAGCTGAATTACAGCAAGTTAGAATAGAGTTTTTAGGGAGGCAAAGCTTAATTAACCAAGAAATGAAAAAACTGAGTACTATTGAGCAAGTTGAGCGTAAACATCTAGGAGAAGCTATTAATTTGGTAAAATTAAAAATTACTAACTTGTTAGAAGCGAAACAATTAGCGTTAGAGGATAATGAATTAGCAAAACGTTTTATTGAAGAAAAAATAGATTTAACAATTCCAGCAAGGACATATAAGCAAGGAAGTATACACCCTATTACCCAAGTTACTGAAGAATTAATTCAAATCTTCGCAAAATTTGGCCTCAACGTACAAGGTGGTCCCACTATAGAAAATGATTGGTATAATTTTACGGCTTTGAATTTTGATAAAGATCACCCGGCACGGCAAATGCATGATACGTTTTATCTTAAAGCAAAAAAAGAAGGGCAAAACCTATTATTGCGTACCCATACTTCTCCAATTCAAATTAGGGCAATGGAAAATAGGAAACCGCCTTTTAGGTTTATTGCGCCAGGTAGAACTTATCGCTCTGACTATGATATGACTCACACACCGATGTTTCACCAAATTGAGGGGTTAGTAATTGATGAAGATATTAATATGGGGAATTTGAAATATGTTATAATTGAATTTATCAAAATTTTTTTTGACCAAGCTAATATAGAAATAAGGTTTAGACCCAGCTTCTTTCCATTTACTGAACCCTCAGCAGAGGTAGATATTAAAATGCCAAATAGTGACAAGTGGCTTGAAGTACTTGGGTGTGGCATGGTTCATCCGAACGTTTTAAAGAATGTTAATATAGATAGCGAAAAATATCAAGGATTTGCGTTTGGCTTAGGTATTGAGCGTTTTGCCATGTTAAAATATAACATTAAAGACCTTAGGCAGTTTTTTGAGGGAGATATAAGATGGCTAAAACATTATAATTTTTCTACTTTTGATTTTGCTGGTATAGCCGGAGGGTTAACAAAATGAAATTTACTTTATCCTGGTTAAAAAAGTTTTTAGATACTGAAGCTTCAGTACAAGAAATCGTCCAATGTCTAACGGCTCTGGGGCTGGAAGTAGAAGAGGTAGTAGATAGAAAAGCGGAATTAAGCGGTTTTGAAGTAGCGCATATATTACGTACTAAGCCCCACCCCTCAGCACATAAGCTCCAAATATGTGAGGTAGAAACTGCAGCAGGAGTATTGCAGATTATTTGCGGGGCTAGCAATGCTAGGAGCAATCTCAAAGTTGTATTAGCCAAGATCGGTTGTGAAATTCCCAAGGGTAAAGTTAAGATAAAGGAATCTATAATACGTGGAGAAAAAAGCTGCGGTATGCTTTGTTCTGCAGGAGAATTATTAGTTGGAGCTGATTCTGAAGGTATTATCGAACTGCCTGACTCGGCAGAAATAGGAGAGTCCTTTATAAAATATTATGGGTTAGATGATCCAGTAATCAATATTAATGTTACTCCCAATCGCGGGGATGCCCTTGGGGTTTATGGTATAGCTAGAGATTTAGCAACTAGAGGAATAGGTAGGCTAAAAACATTAACCCCACCAATAATTAAAGAGGAATTTCAATCTGAGCTTAATTTAAAGATACAAGATAAAGCAGCGGTTCGGTTATTTTGTATCAGAGAAATAAGGAATTTACGCAATAAAGCGAGTCCAGAGTGGTTAAGATGTTTACTAGAAAATATAGGAGTAAAACCGGTTTCAGCTATAGTAGATGTCACTAATTACATATTATACAGCTTTGGTCAGCCAATGCATGTATATGACAAAAGTAATTTCTTCAATAATATCTTCTTTGATATTAATATCATGCCGCCACGAGGGTACTAAAATTTTTATTATATCGTTAGTTTCTAATACTTTGCTATCTTCATTAGATCTCTTGCCTAATTTTGCTTCTGCAAAAGGTCTATTCGCGATAATGAAACCCAAACTTTCTAATATACTACAAATTTTTAATAGGCTTAGTTCCATACCAGTTATTTTAGCTAAACTACTTATAGGAAATTCTAAAGATTTTTTAATAGGGTCAATATTACCTTCACATATCACCTGCGAAATTTCCCCACCGCAAATAGATACGATCATTTCAGTGGCAATATTTAAGGCATTTATCGTAAACCCCTGGTCTATATTACGTTCAAAACGGTAACGGGATTCAGTGTCAATCTGTAATCGCCTACCAATTTTAGTAACGTAGCTAGGAGCAAAACAGGCGGCTTCTAAAACGATATTGTTAGTGCTTATGTGACGGCGACCGTGGT